GATCCCTCTGCAATTTGTCTGTTACATCTTCGGAACTGGCGTAGCTCCCGTTGCAGCAGTTTCTGAAGAGTTCACACTATTTCATATATTTATCATCCTGGCAGGCCTGTGAGAGTGTAAAAAATTTCAGCAGTTGTCACTGAGTCTTTCAACCAGTACAACCACTTTTCATTTAAAAATCAGCATTTAGTGAGTTCTTGAAAAATACACAACGTCTGTGACAGAAAAAAAAACTGCTGCAATTTTCCCAAAGCCCACACTAACTTCTCAACCCATGGACTTTTCTTCTGCTACAGAAGGAAATGTGTTCCTTCCTTATGCCAACACGACTTTCTCCTACTGGAGTTAAAAAGAGTAAAATCTGCTTCAATTACCTTCTTAGATATGATCTAAAATTCCAAGGTATAAAGAGGCAAGGCATAAGAAAAAACCCCACCACTTTCTTCAAAAAAGAAAAAATAGATACAAATCTTCCTGACTGTATTTCATTTAAAGTGCACGCTATTTTAGGATTCCACTCTCATATTCTTCATTGTTCTTTTTAGTATAGAACCTAACAGTGTTACCACAGATTAGGACCCAACGGTAACATTGTGTCCTTATAATTTAAATTCTTACATCAATAGCCACATAGCAATCCAGATTTCACTGCTGAGAGGTAAAACTATCTCAGTAGTATGATAAGTGTTCAGTGTAGCTTGAAAAAAATACATACCTTCACATTATGACAAAACTGTGAGATTCTAGAAAGAGTCTGACAAAGGCAAAAAATGCTAAGGAATTAGAGTTTAAGCTGGATCTGAAACCTGAAACTTACACAATTTGCCATGAGTCAGAGGTTCTTTTTTGAAGTGTTGTGCAAAGATGGAAGACTATAATAATTCTAAAAATACAGAGTGATCTGATCTACAAAATGTCACGGGCTGTAGAATGATCTCATAAAATAGATTTTTTTCATTGTGTTATTTCAATAAGAAAAGGTTTTAAACTATTGATTCTTAGAAGATATAATCACTTAACACTTTTCTGCTGTTTATCTCATGAATCAGAAGATTTTTGCATTTACTTTGGTCCAAATTATTTATTGACTGTTCATTCTGTTTTCGCTACGTCAATTTGGCATCACATGATGACTTTGAAAGAACTTACTCTTTCAGAATCTAAGTAGCACTACTATGAACAGACAACCATCATAAATAACTGTATTTTTCCTATCAAACTCTCCACTTCATTATGTCTTTCTCTAAAACCACATTTTCCATTACCTGACCAAACTCCCCTAAGAGAAATAATGAAATTTCACTCGCAGAAATAGCACAAGAGTCTGCATCATAATAAAACTCTTTAGAACTACAAAATTTTGCCTGAAAAAGACTTATTGCAATTAGGGTTCAACTAACCATGTTTTTTTCTTTGCAGTTAATAATTTCAATGCAGTTAAATGCTATCCTTTAAAATAATCTACTGTTGATTTCTTGATGACAAATTAGCTTAGCAGTAAATGTATCTATACGAAAAATACACAACAAAACTACTAGCAATTACGTGCAGCATGTCACGCAAGCATTAAAGACAGTGTTACTATAACAGGATACAAGTTCTGTTAAGAAATATAAGAGAGAAAATTTGATTGAACCATACTGTCCAGTTCCTCTTGGGCATTTACTGATCAGGAAAAGAGAACATTCTCTCTTGAAATTCAAGGGGTTTTCGGTGAGGTGGTTTTTTTTGGCCAAACTGTTTCTTTATGATATAACAACTTCTCTGGTTCCAGTTAAAAAGTAAAGTTTAAAAATGTCAAGAGCATCACCGATGGGCTAACAATGTTAAGGCCTTTTTTGAAAATGAATCAGGTGCAGATATTGAACTGTACTTTTTCATCCTTTGTCTCACTTTTCAAATGATAATTTCTTCCACAGCCACCATTAAAACGTGATCTATTCCAGCTCTCTGTATGGGTCATTGATTCTAGATGTACCATGGTTATTTTTAAATGTTTCCCCTTCGTAGAGAAAAAGAGGGCTGTCTAGAGCCAGATGGGTAACTTCACACTTCATTTGTCAAATCCAATGCATCAGACTCCACCCTCTCTTTCCCACTATTGCTGTTAAACTTCCATATAATTTGGTAACAATTTTCATTATCATACAGTGACCCTAAAAAGTCCACGGAGTTTTGCATGGTTAGTCCAGAATTCCCAGCTGTTCGCTTCACCCTCGGTTTGTTACAGTAGAATCGAAGGTTCCCCCTTACTTTATAAGCCCAGTGGTGATCTTGTGGAAGCAGAGGTCAAGACGGGGTCAGTTCAAAGGGCTGGAGCCTTTCACAGCTATAACAATCTGTCCATCAGGCACTATCGCACAGTATAAACAAATCTGGGGCTTTAGAAGCTCTGGACCATTTCTGTTAACACTTTGAGGACATTCATTGAGTCCTACCTGAAGTATTTTGGATCGCTACCACTCAACATGGAACTACTTGAATCCCGGGAAGACCTGCTCACATACTCGAGATACTGATGACATCTTTGCAGCAAAACTATACAAAACCGCGAGCCATAACACTAAGTGCACTACCACGTGTTTTGAACTATGGAGCTGAAATAATACACTTAAAGAGTAATTCCAGTTGGTTAATATGGAGAAACACTGGTACAACTTAATGCAAATAACGCAAGGACGTGCTTTAACCGAGTAGCTCCCCACACGTACCAAAACAGCTCAATTTCTAAAAGTTGAATCAGTTTGCATTAACAGTTCCCAGGAGGTTTTTTTTTATTTATGGTGTCAATGACACAAATAAAACCACGAAAGAACAGAATGCCTGCATAACTCTACAAAGACAAGTGCAGAGTGAAGTTTTTGCCAGCTGCCCTCCCTTCATTGACCTAAATTTCTTGAAGTTGTACCATTCATAATGTGCTCTCTAATGCACAATGTAAGGTAATTAGAGTCATCTGTATTTAACTTCCAGAGGGAAAAAAAAATTCTATTATCTAATCTAGCTGATCCCCTGATAGTCTGCTGAAAGTAAAATACTGTAACCTATTGCCTGCCCTTTGACAAGTGCTAATTATTTCCTGTCCGAGCACATTTTTCTCATGTAATTCCAAAGTACACAATAGACTGATCTCTAAAACATGGGCAGCCCTGCCAGCACCACGGCGGACGTTTTATAACTTTCACCACCGTATGCTTGATGGCTACCACAGCCAGTGCTTCGTTCCAGACATCAAGCTGAAGCTTTGATGAAGCAAAGTGAGGTGTACGATAACAGCCTGTTTATGTGGATCATATGGATGAGACTCTCAGATAGGTCCCTGGGATGGGAAACATCAAACAGAAAGAAAAAGGATTATGGATATGCAATACTCAAAGGACACTTTCTTTCAGAACTTTCAAGGCACAATGATCTTGAAATTTTCTTTCAGGTGTTCAGTTTGAAGGAGGCCTGCACTTTGTCTGCTCGTGCCTCCCCCCGCCTCCACCCAGGATCTCCAGCATTTCTGCGTCAGGAGCCGGGCTGTTCTCACAGTGACGCCGGCTCCAGCCTCGCAGCACGGTGCACACAGAGGCCAGAAACACTGCAGCCACAGTACTTGTAAATGAGTCCCCACTGCCATGATTCCCGATGACCTCGTCTGCTAGGAAATCATTGCTAAACTAAACCAAACCAAAAAAGCTACTCCACTCATTAGAATTGTTCAGCCTTTTCCTATCTCTAGGAAGCTTTCTCTTCTGGTTCACGACAAAGATGCACATGTCCCACAGAAAAGCCATACGTGATTTCCTCTGCTTCCAACGTAGTCAAATCATTTGCATTTTGTAGTAAGCATGGTGACAGAAGGCAAAAAAACCCCACTACAAAAATGCCTTGAATTCCTCAAAAAGGAAGAAACAAAATCCAGAGGATAACACAAACAGTAGTGCAGACCCATCCTCCTAAGCTCCTTTTCACTCTGAGAGTTAAACTGATTAGTATACAAATAAACATTCCATACACAGAACTCATAAAACACAGACTCATTTGTAATAATAATTATTACTGTATAATAATGTTTCATTTATATCTAAAGCTTCTAAAATATTTCAAGTCCATGGGAACACCAAAGCCACTCAAGTGTCAGAGCCAATATGGACAATTAACTCTTTAAAGTCAGTCTCATAGAATTTTCAGGAACTTTCCACAATTATACACTAACAAAACACAGGAAAACTGGAACATTTAATGCAGATTAAAACCTCATGCCAATTAAGTGTTAACTTTAATTAACAAAATCTCATTAGAAAAATACTTTTGACTAAGAATTGTATTTAACTGTAAGCACATGACATCTGGTTTCAAAGGAAAGCAGTAGATTTGGTAAAAAAAATTCCACAGACTTAGATATTTTATGTAAATATGATATGAAAAAGAGATTATTAAATTAGTATAAATCTACAGGGTTTAGAAACGGATGTGAAAAAAGGTGACATCAACTCATTTAGCAGCTAAAGAAAAGGACACAAGGTGGCATATAGTGGAAGGTACCTTTTTCTGAATTCACATATTTCTGAAAGAACTAGAAGCACGATGTATCTGTATCTTCTGAAATGCACTCATCTGGCTACAATCCAGAAACATCATTTTTTGCAAATGAAAACATAAATAACTTTTTACAATTGTTACCAACATCACCTGATTTCTTACCATGGTAACGGTCAATTTAAAAACTCAAGCACAGTAAAACAGCCACATGATGCAAACCCCAGCAATAGGAACATTTCTGCCAACCTTACCCAACACAACCCAGTTAACACCAGTAGGACAACACGAGGAGATGTGTGGATCATGAAGAAAGCAGACAAGAAGGGTATCTATGAGCATGGCATGCAGCAAGGATGAACAGTAATTCTTAATTTTTTTAATTTTTTTGTCAAACTGCCCCACCCTGGGGACTCATAGGAGTGTGTTTGATATATTTATTTGTATTATCTCACCATTTTTCAAACATTTCTCACCTTGCTGTCCATTCTTTACGCAGCTTCTGTCGCTCCGTAAGAACTAGCAAGAAGCAGCTGATGGTTTCCTTCCTTTGTTCCTCAATTTGTTCCTTTTTTCCAACTTCAGACAGGAACAAGCTTGTCTTAAAGGGAGAAAAAAAATCACATAAATATTATAATATAGAAATAGGAAACAACGTGTAAAATTAATAAAAAGCCCATAAGCAAATAAGGACAGTAAATCAATAGCTTTTTTTATTACCGTTCCACTGCTGACAAATCAATACAGTAAATGATGGTTAGAAATGGTCACCATGTATTTGGTATTTAATCAATGTACATGGCACATAAGGTAAACCTTAAAATCTCATTGTTTTAAGTAACAAAACAAGACACTGTGCGTTCTAGCTCTCTTTTTTGAGACATAAATATTTTGTTCTCTAAATACTTTCTTGTATCATATCAGAAATGGTTTCCTCAATACAGCATTCGTTTGGGGCATTTCCCCCTCCCCTTTGATCCTGGTGAAGCTGAAGGAGAAAATACCTGTTTGCATTGTACCTTCTAGAGGGAATCTCTGCTCATGTCCCCATGTTGTCTTTATCATGAAATATTTCAAGTGAACAAGCAGCAAAACGACCTTTTTTCATTTCTGGAATCAATGTGAGTTGACTTGACGTGCAGCAGTTCAACCACAGCAGAGACCTCGACTTGATGCCTCAGCCTATTCCTTAATTGAAGATGCCATATTTGGATTTCTTGCCTTAACCAGCCACAGATACTCAGTTATTTTTGCTATTCTAACCTTCAGTCACACTTTCTGCAAATGTATAAAATACCTAAACGCTGATGGGAAGGACGATTAACAGATGGAATGCTTGCACAAACCCGGTTTTTCCACAAAAAAGGAGGCAAAAAAATATGTTTCTAACCTAAGCAGTTGTGGAAGTGAGTTTGAAAACAAACCCCAATCATCAGCAATGCAACTGGCACTCCCAGCATGGCCTCTCTTATAGAGCAGTATGACCAAAGGACGTGGCATATTGCCTTCCCCTCAACATCACACACATTACATCGTGTCCTGCCCAAGTGTACACCCACTAAAATTCCTCTGGGGAGTCTGTCAGATAAATGGTTGCTGTTATTGTCAGTTTGTGAAAACAGGAAGATCCATCCTTGGTCTGACAGGGATTTTTTTTTCCACAAGAAAGAGTAATACACAGATGATACACTTAAGCTATGTAAATTAGTGGTAACATTGCTGCTGCCATGATGGTTCCAAAAGACAAGCACAGCAGTGTTCACAGAAACAGAAAATGATTTTACTACACCAACAACAGATGACAGAGAGCAGAAGCATCTTCCCACCTCCCAGCTCTGCCAGTTGGCCTACCAAAATGCATTACCCTGTCATATGAGACTCACACATCAAAAAGAACGTTCTCTTGTAAAAAACCCAAATGTTCAAAACTCTGCCTATAGAGATCACATTCTTGACCCTGCTTTGACATTACAAAGCAAACAAAAGGAAAAAAAAAAGCCAGAGAGTATTTTCAGATAAGGATTCCCTGACATGGGTTTCCCTTGCACTGACCTAACGAGATCTTTCCCACAAGCTCTAATATCCACCAACTTCAACAACTCTGATCTTACAGCCTTACTCCCAGCAGCTGCACCGCTTAAAGCAGGATTTGATGGAGGACGTCAGCATATGAGAACACATTCACATGACATGAAGAGATGCACACTCTTTACTCGAGGTAAATTAACCCTCATTGTCATTTTGAATAAAGATAGCTATTAAAGCTTTAACCACGTGCAAGACTTGGCACACACAGCACACCAAGATATCCCTCTCAGAAACACTGGATGGCCTTGCAAACCACCAAGGGAGAGGGAAATCCACCAGTGATAGTGTAGAAGTGTATGTCTCTCCAAGACTGCAGAAAAGTCCCAAGTTTAACAACGCTATGCCTCACAAAGCTGAAAGTATAGTCATTTGTAGGCAACAAATATTAAGATTCCCCAAATAACTGATCCCCAAAGTGTAGAGCATGGAGAACGGACAGGTCCTAAAGAATCTGCAGTTAAAATCTGATGAAAAGATGATGTGATTAGAGTGTTAGCAGTTAGAAAAGATGGGTGGCCACTTCTCCAAGTATTCACAATCTAACTGCATTGTTATATTCACAATATAACGCTTTTGTAGGAATTCTGATGGCATAGCCAAATTGCAACTTTGGTACTGAGTTCCACTACCTAATGTGCCCTCCATCATTTACCGAGGCAGTGATGATATTGGGCCAGCCCTCTGTTACCACCTTCTGTTTTGGTGGCGATGTGCACAGTTGCAATCAAACCCAGAGTTTGACACTGATCATAAACACTTCTTTCCTGAGCCCTACACAGTCACAGCTACCTGCAGGGTGAAATACGACTATTAAGCACCATACAACAACAACACATAGCAATTTAACTGATTTCCTTGTTTTCTAAGAGTGCTGAGGGCAGGATGGTTACCCAGAAGGCGAGTGTGGGGCTTAATATGTAGCTTTTGTAGAGGCATTTCTTGATAACTTGCTACTCTTATCATCTCAATAAAAATCCCAAATTGTAACAAATAAAGCAAGGTAAAATTCTGGGTAAAATTATATTATCAAAAATGTTTCTTTGCAAGTTTTCTTTTCCATGTAACTTGTTTCGGGCTTTATTTTTAACAAGGAGATTCAATCTATACCTTGACTGATAAAGGTCAAGGGTTCAAGAAACTCGGTCAAAGATGTTATCAGCTGGGAAAGCCATTTCCTCATACCAACACTGATAAAAATCCATCAGAAACCCAGCCGATACCACTCCTGCTCTAAAGGGCAGGAATGACCTTCTTTGAATATCCCTACAGTTGCACATCCCATCAAAGAAAATCTGACTGTGTGTCCCAATTCTTTTAATGTCCTTTAATGACAGATAACTGCAGAGGCCCCCTTTGCCCAGCGCTGAGTGAAGCCTTCACATTTCTGAACCAGGCTCAGCACTGGCTCTCTGTTTTTCAGCACACTTGGGACCGTGGGACAGTAGAATAAATAAACAGCATAACCAGCCCTACAGCCTGTCTTATCTCATCCCTGTGTTCACAGGGATTCTTGAGGGTGGTAATGTTTACAGATTGTTGCAACTTTCTTTCTTCTGCTTCCTGAGCTGGTAAAAACATATCCCGGACAACCTAAGCAACGAGATTACGCAAATTGCTTATCACTGGAGGGAAGCAGCTTCTTGTCTCATTGGCCAGCATGCCTCTTTAATAAGTAGTACCGTTAATGCTTTCTGCAAACCTTTCCCAGTTCTCCTTACAGATCTATTCATGCATTTAGGGCACTTTCTCGTAAATCCAAAACAGCATGGTCTTAAAAACAAACACACAACACACCTCTCAAAAAAAGCCCAAAGCTATATATGTGTATACATACAGCAGTTGCCATTCCAGCCTTCTCTGTTAAAGATGGTATTGAGGAAATTATTACCTTTTCCCTTCTTCCTGCTACAGTGGCAGAACTCAATCTAGTGCTCTACTGACATATCCAGCAACCACCATCTGAGCATCTTCTCTTATTAAGTGAGAAAGAAAGGTACTAAGATAAGATTTTAAGAGACCAATATCATCTTCCTCTCATACCCACTGACAAAATATATCTGACCCAGGACTGAACAGAAACCGTCATAATCAAGTCTTGCTATTCACCTGAGACACACATTTAAAATTAGGTACCTTCTATTAGTCTTAACAAGCCAATCTAGGTATCATAACAGGATTACAACAATATTTTATTTTCTTAGATACACAGCAGAAGAAATTATGTTTCAACGTATTCAAATAGGCCATTACTGTGCTTAACTGTGCGTACCCTGGGTGAATATCATGTCATGCTTACAGGTAAGCAAAACAAACAAAAATTTTAGTAAATATTTCATTGTAAATTGTAATTTTTTAATTGTAAATTTTTAGTCTTTTCAAGTGAGATTTTCCTTCTTTCAATACAGAACTCTTGAGGAGCCTGACTTAAGGTTAGAAACACTGCATAGCGGGAGACATGAAGCCCAGTGTCCTGTCAAACAAATTAGCCTTCAGTCTGAACTAAAGTGGCACTTGGGACAGTTTGTCTCTTGGTCCCACTTCACTGGGTCAACAAATCAGATTTTTCACTCTGAGTTAAGATTTAATTTACTCATCACCAGTTTAAATAGGGTAAGCTTCCGAATATTTAATCACCCCTTCTATTTTAATCTAGTGCTCACCTCTCAATAATCAAGAACTAATATCAAAAGAAAAAACAAAGTGTAAAATCTGCAAGCAGGGCTAAAATCTTAAATGTTGTTCTATATCTTCCTTGTTATTTCTGTGACATTATTTTGCTCTTAGTGGAAAAAATATCCTGATGAGAGTCTGTAAAACCAGAACACTGTGCCTTGTAGAGGGGAAAAGAGAAAAAAACCAACAAAACTCAAACTTGAAATCTATTAAGTCATGTTAATTTACCTTGTCATAACTTCTATGCGATAAACAAGCCAGTAATTGCTTACAAACCACTGCTCATTTCTTCTTTACTTTTAAAATTTCTACTTAAAATATGAGCAAATGCACCCCTTTTCATCGATGCGATGGAGGCAGCCAGTATGGTTTAAGTTATCACCCAGTAATTTGGGCACATTAAACCCAATTCTCTGCCTTTTGTTTATTAATCCACTATGCCAGATATCACAGTTTCACTCAGCAACCCTGATGTTTTGGATGATATTGAAAAATGGTTCATGTTTGTCAAAGTGAAAAAAAAAAAGGGGCAAAGAGGAAAAAAGTGTTGTTTATAGAAGCCAGCTGCTCTGGCTTCGGCGCCAGCAGCTCCTCATCCTGCTATTTTACGCTCGCAACCCCCACTGCCCCCACTGGCACAGGTACAACTAAATGTTGACTTCAGTGCTTCAGAGAGCACTCAACTGATTCTGTACATGATTAATTGCCAAAGACATGGCTGACCATATGGAACAGAGAAAGCATCAAGTAATTCATACTTCTGTATATGATCATTTGGCCCCTGTTGTTTTAATGTACAGGAAAGAGCTAGTATAGCCAGACCTGGTGTCTTGCCCTTGA